GTGTGTGTGTGTGTGTGTGTGTGTGTGTGTGTGTGTGTGTGTGTGTGATGCCAGAAGCTATTCCCTAAATCAGTAAACAAGTGGCCAGAGGATAGAAACAAATAATTCTCAAAAGAATTGCAAACTTTTAACAACCATATGAAAGAATACTCCAGATCACTAATAATAAGAGAAATGGGGGCAGCTAGGTAGCACAGTGGATAGAGCACCGGCCCTGAAGTCAGGAGGACCTGAGTTCAAATCCGGCCTCAGACCAAACACTTGACAAGTACTAGCTGTGTGACCTTGGGCAAGTCACTTAACCCCAACTGCCTTACAAAAAAAAAAAATAATAATAAGAGAAATGCAAAACAAAACAGCTTTCATCTCACACCCTGAAAATTGGTGAAGATGGGAAATGTCAGTATTGGGGGTGGGGTTGTGGGAAGGTAGGCACAGTCATAAAGTCATCATTCTGCAGGATGACATCGGGCCCACACCTCAGATCATTTCCCACTTCAGTCAGATGACTTCATCCTGCCCCTCCTTCTTCCTCACCTGTTAAAGCTTTTTTTTAATGTGTTGTCTCCTCCCCCCCAATTAGATTATGAGTCTATCTTACGCCTTTCTCTGTATCCCCAGCACTTAGCATAGTGCCTGAGATATAGTAGCCACTTCATAAATGCCTAGTGACTGACTTTGAAAGTAGTGTCACCAAAATCTAGAGAAAAGTGTTATCAAGGAGAAGAGAATGACTGACGGTGTCCGAGGCATCGTAGAGTCAAAAAGGATGAGGACTGAGGAAAAAGTCATTAGACTTGATAACTGAGAGATCTTTAGTAACTTGGGAGAAAGCAGCTTTGGTGGAATAATGAGGTTGGAAGGTAGACTGTAGAGAGCTGAGAAGAGTGAGAGGAGACGCCTTTTATAGACGGCCTTCTCATGTCAGGAAAAGGAGTGGCGATGTAGATGGGTCAGGTGAGGGTTTTTTGAGGATAAGGGTTGTCCCGGAGAAAGGCCAGGAAAGATTGAAACTTAGTGAAGAAGTAGAGATACTTGCTGTTGTATAACTGGATAAAATCTGGGTTAAAATACTTCAGCTCTCAGACTCAGTTTCCTCATCTGTAAAATAAAGATGTAATAGCTTCTGCCTGAGGTAGGTTGTGAGGTTACAATAAGATAATGTGTGTAAGGCATTCACTTTTACTAACAAAACGCAGGAGGACAAGCCAGAAATATGAATTCCCTTCAGAATCATTACAAATGTATAAAATGTTTGTGTGATAACCTACTAACACAGGATTTACATAAATACAGCTTAACCACTCTGTTCAGAAATTCATAAGCTTCTTGGTATCATGGAGCCCTTTGACAATTTGGTAAATTGAAGAGGTTGTAGGAACACAGGCACATCAATACACTTTTGGTGGAGCTTTGAATTAGTCCAGTGGGTCTGGAAAATGATGGATACCCCAAGGTGCTTAACAACTTAAAGAATGGCCCCAACTATAACAAATAGTCAGAGCCGTACTGTTTGTAGTAGTCAAACAATTTGAAATAAGGTGGGTGCTCATCACCTCCTTGAGTTTAAGAAATGGCTGTACTAATTGTGCATGTATTGTGATGGAATGTTATAATGGAAACAGTGAATATTGGAAATTTAAAGAAACAGGGAGGTGTATGGGAAGATGTATGAAAGTGATTCAGCACAGAGGAAGCAACATTGAGACAACAGCGCATGGGGTCACGATGGTAATGTGAATGCAAACAGTACTAAAAGGCAGCTCTCTTGGCTTAAACAAAATGACTGATGCTGGTTTTGAAGAACAGTGGATGTGATGCACGTCCCTCCTCCTTGTAGAGAGGCTGAGGGGTGTATTGTCCAGCTTGGTTATTTTGCAGGTTGGTTGTGCTTGTTTTCTTGTTGAAAGACTCGGGAGATGGAGAGTTATGTGAAGTATAAAGGGAAGTGTTTCATTTGTTGTTCAGCCATGTCTGATTCTTTGTGACCCCATTTGGGGTTTTCTTGGCAAAAGTACTGGAGTGATTTGTCATGAGGAAACTGAGGCAAACAGGGTTAAGTGAATTGCCTGGGGTCATACCGCTAGTAAGTGGTCTGAGGCCAGCTTTGAACTCAGGTCTTCCTGACTCCAAGCCCAACGCTTTATTCACTGTGCCACCTAGCTGCCCATAGGGAAATGACAAATACAGAAGGCATCAGCTTTTAAAATGGCAGAGAAGTCGGGAACAAAATGAGAAGATGGGAGAAGAATCAGTTAAAGAAGACGGAGGGGAACCAGAAACATGGTGACTGAAGTTGAGGGTGGCGAGGATTGTCACAGGGACTGCTGGAGTTGGCCATTAAGCTGGTGATCTTGGAACAGCAGGCCAATTCTGAGTGGTAGGGAGGAAGAACACTGCCTTCCAAGGTGGCTGTTACTGTTAGGTTCCTAGTAATGGTTCTGTCAAACTTCCTGCTTCTACCATTACCTCTCACTGAATTTGTGACCCAAAAGACAAGCCATTCCAGACCAGGAGGAGCCAGCGGTTAGTAATGAAAACATGGGATGCCTTGGGCCTCACATCTATCTTTTTTTTGTTTTGTTTTTTTTGTTGTTGTTGGGCAGTGGGGGTTAAGTGACTTGTCCAGGGTCACACAGCTAGTAAGTATTATGTGTCTGAGGCTGGATTTGAACTCAGGTCCTCCTGAATCCAGGGCTGGTACTCTATCCACTGGGCCACCTGGCTGCCCCTTCTCACATCTGTCTTATTAGTACCCTCTGATTGGACTTTCAGATTGCTAGAGGGCAGAGCCAAGGACTCCAAAGCCTCTATTTAAGGTAGGGCCTAGGACAGTCTACCCCTCACCCAGGTGCCTTCTCCCCTCCCTTCCCCCCCCACCACTCTTTTTTTAGCTTCTTTGTGTTGTCTTCCTCCATTAAATTGTAAGCTCCTTGAGGACAAGAATTTTGTCCGTTGTATCCCCAGTTTTTCATACCATGCTTGGCACCTAGTAGGCGCTTAGTAAGTGCTTTTTGATTATTGACAATTGTCGTGAGGATTGGAGCCTTGTAACATTAGCTGTACGTAGAGGATTGGCACCAGGCTTATCTCAGCCAGCCCTTGTGGTACCTTTTTTCTGTACATCTTTGTGTTGTGTACTCGTCCAGCCCTCAAGCAGCTGAGATTCTGTGCAGTCCTGTTTCCTCTGGTTTCCCAGCGCAGCCTGTGGTCTTGCCCACCCCAGCCGTGTCTTGCACATCTTTGTCCTCACCTTGGTGTGTAGCACCTTGTTCTAAGTCTTGAACCAGGAGTCGTACTAGTTCCTGGTCTGGAGTGAATTAGTCGTGTGACCTTGGCCTAGGAGAAGGTCATTGGTCTGAAAGAAGAGTGGAGTCAAGCATGTTCATAAGTATGTCTGTAGAATCATAGCCCAGAGACTGGCTATTCTTCATTTTTGTCAGTCTGTAATGTAAACTCCAGCCTATAGCCAGCCTCTTCCCTCCTTTCCCAGATTCTTCCACAAAGATCATTAAGAGTTGACTTTTAGCTCTGAGTGCAGTGGGAGTAGTTCACAGTCTTCCCCGTTGACTGATGACCAAACGAGGGTCAGTTTGAGTCCCAGGCTCAGCTGTCCTTCTGGCTTTTCCTCTTCCAGCCATGGATTTCCCGCAACATAGCCAGCTGGTCCTGGAGCAGTTGAATCAGCAGCGGCAGTTGGGCCTGCTGTGTGACTGCACCTTTGTGGTGGACGGAATCAACTTTAAGGCCCACAAGGCTGTGCTGGCGGCTTGCAGCGAGTACTTCAAGATGCTCTTTGTGGACCAAAAGGACGTGGTGCATCTGGACATCAGTAACGCGGCAGGTACCCGGGCCACGCTCAGTCGAGCTCTGCCAGGAGGTGGGAAGCCAGTCTGCGGTTGCAGGGCTTTCCTGTGCCATCCCTGAGGCACTGAATCGCCCACCACCACATAGAGGGGCCAGTCTGCTCAGCAGCTCTCCCGCCAGGACACTCGCATCACATCCCCGTCCTCCTGGGGGCAGAATGTGTCCACTGCTGTGCCCAGCCCTCAGCCACAGGGGAACGTAGATGTGCTTTAGCCTTCTGCTGTCTAGTTAGGGTTAAGACATGGGATGGGAGAGTGGATTAGGCAGGGGGATAGCGGATGAGGTGAGTGAGCAGGATGAAGATGGAAGACATAAATTCCAACATACTTAGGTTTTCTTTTTTTAGAAAAGCCCCTTCCATGACATCTGGGCCCCAAGCCAGTGTGCACCCTTGTGTGCGTCTTTAGCAAGATGTTTCAGTGTGTGACCCCTCCATGCATCCTCTGTGTTAGCCTCCATGAGAAGCACAAACTTTCAGTGTTTCAGCTTGAATAATCGCAACATAATGACTTGTGTCAGAGAGAGTGGCAATTTCTGATGGTGGAAACAGGAATTTTTATTTTTTTTTAAAGGAGAGAGAAATGGGGCCTAGTGGTAAGACTTCTAGATTTTGAGTCTGAGGGCATAGGTTTTCATCTCCAGCTCAGCTTCTCAGTTTCTGTGTGACCCAGAGCCAGGCATTTAACTGCTCTCAGGGCCCTCCTCTGTAAAAAAGACAGGGGTGTACTAGATTATCTTTTTTTTTTTTTTTTTGGTGAGGCAATTGGAGTTAAGTGACTTGCCCAGAGTCACACAGCTAGTGAGTGTTATGTGTCTGAGGCCACATTTGAACTCGGGTCCTCCTGACTCCAGGACCAGTGCTCTATCCACTGCGCCCCCTAGTTGCCCCACGCGCTAGATTATCTTGAATGGCCCTTCTAGGGCTGCATCCCATTCTGAAATAGAGTATTAAAATAGTATTGTGCCTGTGTGTCCTAGGTGACAACCTGACCCCGATTCTTGCTCTCACTGAGCTCCAAGTCACTCAGACTCTGGAAGCTCTAGAATGTGAGCTCCAGAGCTCCCTACATGAGGAAGACGAAAACAGAAGAAAGATCTGGCATTAGAAACCAGGGCTTCCAAACCTTTTCCACTGTGCCCTTGTCAGGGCACGTAACTCCCTCTCTACCTTTCTAATCCCACTGACATAATTTTCCATCATACATTCGGTCTTCTGTCCTCCACGCTCCACCCCAATCAAGTGCTGGCCAAGGCATTGAGGAAAGCCATGCTTTCCTTTTCCCCTTCCCAGCGCATCTTCATTGAGTGGCCAGAAGTCAGGGACCCCAGACTGGGGTGCAGTTCCACCTCACTCGCGGGCCTTGGGATAAAGTACAGCTGTTGGGGGTGGGAGGGGCGAGGTTAGGGAGGAATGAAGCTCAGTGCTTTAGGTTTCTTACTTCCTTGGGCTGAGCACCTCCTCCTCACCTGCGTAAGTGGTGTCAGTCATTTGTTGTCTCCCCAGGTACAAGCCCTTTTAGGAATAAACCCTTGCACATTTAGCTAAGCTGGCCTTTAGATGACAGACATACAGCCTGTCGCTATTGTATACATAATACGATATCAAAAACAGTTGTTAAGCATCCGATCTGCTGTGTGCAGAGAACTTTGCCAGATGCTTGGGGAGACAGACAGTTTAGGGAAACCAGTTCTTACCCTTAAGGAGTCTAGTAGTGGGATGAGATAGCAGCTCAGATCGCTGTCATGCACAGCACAGAGAAAGTCACCAGAGCCATGCAAGCTGGCTTCTGTGTGAGTTTGGGGGAGGTCGCTTTGGGACAAGGCTGTGGATGATGGTCAGAGGGTGAGGAGAGGGAGAGGAAAAGACATTTAAGGTAAAGGAAAGAATGAGCCAAAGGTGCCACTGAGGTGGCAGAGTTGTCCATCTGGATGGGAGCATGGAGAGGAGAGTGGGCAGGCAGCTCAGAAAGACCTGAGTTCAGATCCTGCTGCTGTCAGAGCCTGACCACAGGGCCCTGGCGAGTCACCACACCTGGCAGTTGTCCCTGGTCACTCTCTAGGACCATCAATGGCAGAGCCAGTGCTAATCTACATTGCTGGAGGGCATTTCCTTACTATGAGTTCCTAGTAGTGGGAGGGCTGGACTTGGAACCCAGAAGAACTTGGTTCAAAACTCACTTAAGACACTTATTGGCTGCACCCTGAGTAAGACTCTTGACCTCTCTGAGCTTCCCATTTCTCAATCTGTAAGGTAGCAGTGATCATGGTACCTATTTCACAAGGTCATTTTGAGGATCAGATAATCACATCAAATGTATGTAAAGTGTTTTGTACACCTTAAAAGGGCTATATCTGTGAGAACTTATCGTTATTCCAGTGAAATCACAGTTATCCTGCAACAGTGGAGGAGGAAATAACGTGAGAGGAGGATGGAAAGGTAGGGTTGTGCCTTTTGGAGGACATTGAATGCCAGACCGAAGGTATCTGCACCTCAGTTGAAAGACAGTAGAGAGCACGGAAGATCTTGGTCTGATCCACGTGTAGAAGGGCTGGCTGGTAGCCATGTGAAGGCTGCATGGGAGAGAGGAGAGTGCATAAATAAGGAGACCCATACAGGCTTGTGGGCCTAGGCGCAGTGGAGACAGAGAGGAAGGGATGGCTTTGAAAGACGTTGGAGAAATAAAATAACGGATGAGAGGCAAGGGAGAGGAAACAGTTTGCAGTAACCCTGACATTTTGGGGCCACTCACAGAAACAGTGAAGTCCGAAGGAGAAGCAGGCTGAGGAGGGAAGAGAGTGATCTCAGACTGGAACCTGCTGAGTCTGCATGCCTGTAGGGCCTTTCAGTAACTGTGTTTCACCTGCAGTTGGAGATGTGGGTCAGGACCAGAGGGTTCAGTTGGTTGATGACCTCTCTTGAGGCAGGCATTGAGGCTAGAAGAGGCCCGAGAGCCTCTTAAGGCCTGGCTGCCTTCCTAGCTCAGCCAGGCTCAGCCTGCTGTCCAGATGTGCTTAAGGAATCTAGGGTCAGCTCCATGACACAGTGAGACAGAAGAAGGCATTTCTTTTCCTTCAGAGGTCTTTCTTCTCACAGGGATGCTCTAGAGTTGGGATTTCTCCAGGCCCTAGTTGAGGTTGCCTCCTGATCACCAGCCATCATTATCAGGGACCCACATGACTTTCCAACTTTATCCCTCCTTCATGTTTTCAATTTGTCTCTACCAACAAGACTAGGAATCCCCAGGGCAGGAGGATGGAGAGGCCTAGTGTTTTCTTCTAGAAAAACTCCACGTGAGCAGCAGATTTGTCCTTCAGAGGCTCTGTCCCCTGGCCTGACCAGCATCTGTGTCCTCACAGGTCTGGGGCAGGTGCTAGAGTTCATGTACACGGCCAAGCTGAGCCTGAGCCCTGACAACGTGGAGGATGTGCTGGCTGTGGCAGGCTTCCTCCAGATGCAGGACATTGTCAGCGCGTGCAATGCCCTTAAATCTCTTCCTGTGGAAACCTGCAGCACGTCGGAGAAACTGGAACCGCCTGAGCCCGAGGGTAAGCCTACCCAGAGTAGACAGGTCCAGGTAGTCAGGGGGCCTGGGTTTTAGTCCTGCTTGTCGTTAGCCAAGTCCTAGGACATCAGCAAGTCCTTTCACCTTCCTAAGCCTCAATTTTCTCCTCTGTAAAAATGGAGGCAGTGGTACCTGTGTCTTGATTCATCAGCTGCTATGGGATAAGGGATAGGAAGGGGCTCTGCAAATTATGAAATGGATCTGGAATGAAAAGATCTGGGTCTAAATCTTATATCTGCTGGTTGTGATTTGTGTGTCTGTGGGCAAGTCACCTTGCCCCTGGGAACCTTCGTTTCCTCATCTATGGCACAACCAGTGTAGACGCCTCTGATATCAAGCCCCTTCCCAGCCTCCCCTACCTGGCCCTCTTATCTCAGATCTTCCCTTAATGGTTGCCTCTGTCCTTGGAAAAGGGTGACTTGGTAAGAAATACTGCGAGGAGGAGACTGGCTCCTTCAGGGAGGGGCCAGCAGGAGCAGGGTGTTCCTCTCCTCAGGGTGGGTTATGATGCCTCTGTCCTCAGGGGAGGAAAAGAAAGCTGAGGAGGAGAAGAAGGCTGCTGCCGCCACCCTCAGCGAGCTGGACCGAGTGGAGTATGGCCCTCTAGCGAGGCCCAGTGAGGAAACCAGTGGCGAGCCAGAGCCCCAGGCTGAGAGCGGAGGGGATGGGCTCGGTGAGTAGTGTGAAGGCCAGGCCATGTGGAGCCCTTGGACCCGACCAGGGCAACTCCTGCCCTGGGGTTGCTTCAGTGAAGACAGTATACGCACTGCCGTTTCTTGAGCTCTGGACAGCACATTTTCCAGGTCAAGAACTTTCCCTGAATTAGGAAATCTCTGAGATGAACAAATGCCCCAGCTCCTGACCCCCTCATCTTAGAGCTGGGCAGGTTTCAGGGGTGAAGTTATTAAGAGTGAATCTCTGCCCCCACATGCTTGCTCATTCTCTTGTGGTGTTCCCTGTGCTCAGGTGCAGAGGGGAAGGGGGACGTCCAGTCTGGGGAGCTGCTGCCTATGGAAACCAGCCCTAGCTCTGTGGGTCCAGCCCTTGAGGTACTCCTGTCACAGAGAACACAGCAAGGTAGAGACGAGCCTTTCCTTCACGCCGTGGTTGACTCCCTGCGCCATCTGTTCCTCCTGGGATCTCCCCACTGCACGCCTGCAGGCTCGGGCCCTACCTCCTCCTTGAAAATGCAAACATTTGTTAAAGACCTCCTGTGGGCACGGCACTGAGCTCGGCCCTAGGGAGAAGATCCCTGGGCACTGGCCCTCTTCTCGAGCAGCTTAGCCAGTTGAGAGAAGGGTGAGGATGGGCGCACTACAGGTTGCTTGAGGGTGAGATAGAAGTGCAGAGGAGAGCCCCAAGTAAGGGCTGAGTGGGATTGGAGGAGGGAATTGCTTCATTCGTGGGGAGGGGTCAGTGAAGGTTTTATGGAGGGAATGATGTCCAAGTTGGACTTTGAAGGCAAAAGATAGAGATGGGGCATGGGCGTGAAGCAGCCTCTGTGAGCAAAGGCCAGAGATAGGAAGGGAAAACATTGGGTCACTCTAGTGAGTAGGACCCCTGGATAGGTGCTGGGCAAGCCCCCAGCTCCTAGTACTGTACTTTGCTGATAATGGATGCTACATTTTTATTGAATTGAATTATTGAACCCTGCTGTTGAAGAACTTACTATTTAGTCCCTTCTTGCTCTGTACAGGCCTTCTCAGAATGCCATGTCTCTGCCTCTCACCCTTCTCTTTCCAATGCCAATTCTAGTCGTTCCTTGGAAGACTACCTGCCTCTGGCTTGCTCTCTTTCTCTTTCTCTCTTTCTTTCTTTCTCTCTTTCTTTCTCTCTGTCTCTCTCCTCTCTCCTTTCTTCTCTCTGTCTCTCCTCTCTCTCTCTACCTCTCCTCTCTCTCTCTCTGTCTCTCTCTCTCTGTCTCTCCCCCTCTCCCTGTCCCTCTCTCTCTCTCTGTTTCTCTTCTCTCTCCTCTCTCTTTCTCTCTGTCTTTCTCACTCTGTCTCTGTCTCTCTTTGTCTCCCCCCTGTCTCTCTCTGTTTCTCTCCTCTCTGTCTCTCTCTCTCTCTCTCTCTGTGTCTCCCCCCATCTCTCTCTCTCTCTCTCTTTCCTCTCTCCTCTCTCTCTCTCTTTCTCACTCTGTCTCTGTCTCTCTGTCTCTGTCTCTCTCTGTCTCCCCCTGTCTCTCTCTCTCTGTTTCTCTCTCCTCTCTGTCTTTCTCACTCTATCTCTCTGTCTCTGTCTCTGTCTCCCCCCGTCTCTCTCTCTCTCTCTGTTTCTTTCCTCTCTCCTCTCTCTCTCTGTCTCTGTCTCTGTCTCTCTGTCTCTGTCTCCCCCCGTCTCTCTCCGTCTCTTTCTCTTTCTCTCCTCTCTCTCACTCTTTCTTTCTCTCTCTGTCTCTGTCTCTTTCACAGACACACATACAAATTTACTATTTCACTTGGTTACTATGAAGTAAGACAGGGACCACTGTCTCCATTTTATTTATTTTTTATTTAGCATAAACTTAGTGACCATTGTCAAAGACAACCTTTCAAATACACAAAACACTAGTTTTGTATGTGAAACTGAACTTTTTTTTAAAGGGGTAAAAATGTTCAAGTTCCCTTTGATACACTAGCAGTGTAATTGTGCTCTTTGTTTCAGGTCTCATCTTAACCTTTTTTCCTTCTTTCTGTTTCCCATCATTCTCACTTTTCAGAGGGGGAAACAGAGACGCAGAGAAGTGAAGTGACTCGCCCAAATGGCCCAGCAGGTCAGTGGCCAGGGCGGGATCAGGTCTCTGATTTTGTCCAAAGCCTCCAGAGCCCCTACCCATCCCCCCCTCCCCCCCTACCCCTCCCACCCCTGCCCCAGCCACACCCCCTCCCTTCCAAATTCCTAAAGGCACTGGTGATCTGAAGCATGTCATTTAGCACTTCCGCTTATGTTCTGACTCCCTAAAGAGAACATAAACTATCTGTTTGGATCTTAAACATGACTGGCACAGTACTGGACACGTGGTAGGTGCATGATAAATCTTTGTTGACTGAACCTTCACCAGGAACTTCTGCCCTTCTTTTAGAAGCTCCTAGGTGCCAATCCCAGGAGCAAATGGCTTTTCTGGATGAGGCTGTCCCAAGGAGGCTCACTCATTCTCCCAGTCTCAGGTCCTCAGTTAGCTGCCTCCCTTTCAGAGTAATGCCCCAGGCCAAGGCTAGGGTGCAGCCTCTCAGGGTCCCCTCGGTGCAGATCTCTGGGCAGACAATCCCACTGTGCCCCCCGGAGTTTCTCCAAAGCTTGTTTCCTTGCAGAAATCGAGGCTGAGCCAGCGAGGGAGGATGAGGAACAGGAGCACAAGAGCCCGGAAGGAGCAGCCTATGGGGAGGTCAGCCCCAGGCTGGAGAACGGAGAACCCCCTGAGGAGAACGAGGAGTCTGGAGGCACAGACTCTGGGCAGGAGAACGTGGGGGAGGCTCGGGTCTTACGCTCGGGCACCTATAGCGACCGCACAGAGTCCAAGGCGTACGGCTCTGTCATTCACAAGTGTGAGGTAGCCCTTTTCCTCGCAGCCTCTCAGTCCACCTCGTCCTGGAGCCGCCTCTCGTCCCCTCACCCCGAACTCCACCCTTCTCCGCAGGATTGTGGGAAGGAGTTCACTCACACGGGAAACTTCAAGCGGCACATCCGCATCCACACCGGAGAGAAGCCCTTCTCGTGCCGGGAGTGTAACAAGGCCTTTTCTGACCCTGCAGCCTGCAAGGCCCATGAGAAAACACACAGGTACAGGCACCCCAGGGGCCATGGCAGGGGGGGGGGCCTTGTTCACTGACTCCACGCCTGGAGGAAAGCCCTCCCCCTCCCCCTCCCCCAGCTCCTCTTCATACGGTGCCTGGGAGTTAGGAGGGGACCCTCTCCCTTAGAGGCCGTCTAGTCTCCCCTTCTCCAGCGTCTCTGATGAGGGACGCCCTCCTCCCCTAGCCCTGCCCTCTGGCTCCCCGCTCACCTCGGCCCCCCTCCCCAGCCCCCTGAAGCCCTATGGCTGCGAGGAGTGTGGTAAGAGCTACCGGCTCATCAGCCTGCTCAACCTGCACAAGAAGCGCCACACGGGCGAGGCCAGGTACCGCTGCGACGACTGCGGCAAGCTCTTCACCACCTCGGGCAACCTGAAGCGCCACCAGCTGGTGCACAGCGGCGAGAAGCCCTACCAGTGCGACTACTGCGGGCGCTCCTTCTCTGACCCCACCTCCAAGATGCGGCACCTGGAGACCCACGACACCGACAAAGAGCACAAGTGCCCTCACTGCGACAAGAAGTTCAACCAGGTGAGGCACGGTGCAGCCCCCAGGGACACGGTCTTTAAAATGGTGCGGTGGCAGTTGTTTTCCTTTGCAGTCCCAGGTATTTTTTCTGGGAAGGGATGCGTGGGCTTCACCAGAACAATAGCAGGGCCCACGACTCTGCTAAAGAGACCCCCGGCCCCAGTCCCTGCCCTCGGGGGTCTAGCCCCGTTCTCACTGGTGCGGGTCATGTGTGCGCACACAGCGATAACATGGGAATACAAGGCAAAGGAGTCTAGTACGGCCCAGGCACAGCACTGCCCAAGGGGCTGAAGGCATTACCTGAGGCCAGGGCAAGGGCGGCAGCTTCCTCAGGCCCTTCTCCAGGTCTACCCTGAGCCCATCAACTTGAGCACCAGAAGATTCCCTCTCTAGGGGAGCAGCCCCTGTGGACGGCGTGGCTGGGTGGGCTGTCGGCCTCGAGAAGGGCCTGCCACAGCTTCTTCAGAGTGCCTCCTCTGAGGGGCTTCCCCCACCCTCTCCCAAGTACAGGTGGGCAACCTGAAAGCGCATCTAAAGATACATATTGCGGATGGACCCTTGAAGTGCAGGGAGTGTGGCAAGCAATTCACCACCTCAGGTAGAGACCCCTGCCCCTCCCCGCTTTTGAGTCTTGTCCAAGCCCCACACAGGCAGTTCCACAGAGCCCTGTCCCCATCTGGGTCCTCCTGGCTACCTCCTTCCAGCCCCCTGACTGTCCCAGCCTCACCCTCTGCGCTGCCCCCCTCCCTCCCCCCACTTCTTCCAGGAAACCTGAAGCGGCACCTTCGAATCCACAGTGGGGAGAAGCCTTACGTCTGTGTCCACTGTCAGAGGCAGTTTGCAGACCCTGGAGCCCTGCAGAGGCACGTTCGCATCCACACAGGTAAGCAGGTGGCCTGGGCCAAGGGTGGGAGGGGCCAACCCAGGCTGGGGTAGGGGAGACTCACGCTCACCTGTTTCCCCTCCCACATCCTCGTCCTGCTGCAGGGGAGAAGCCGTGTCAGTGCCTCATCTGTGGAAAGGCTTTCACCCAGGCCAGCTCCCTCATTGCCCACGTGCGCCAGCACACCGGGGAGAAGCCCTACGTCTGTGAGCGCTGCGGCAAAAGGTCACTGCCTGCGGCTCCCTGACCACCTGTGCCCCTCCCCGTCCCCCTCCATCCTAGGCCCTCAGACATCAGGCTCCCAGGCACCACCGCAGTGTGAGGCCCAGGTCATGCTGCCTTCCCCTTCCCGGCATTCACATGTCCAGGCCGGGCCCGTTCTTCCATTCCCCAGAGCTCTTTGCCTTGAGTCAGAGGAGTCAGAGGATCTGATTCAGATCCTGCCCCTGCTATGTTTGCTGCCCGTCCCATTCTCTCTAGGCCTGTTTCTCTCCTGTTGAATACTGGCTCGTTCTCGCTCCCATCTCATTGTTCCCCCCGCTGCAGGTTTGTCCAGTCTAGCCAGCTGGCCAACCACATCCGCCACCATGACAACATCCGCCCGCACAAGTGCAGCGTGTGCAGCAAGGCCTTTGTCAACGTGGGGGATCTGTCCAAGCACATCATCATCCACACGGGTGAGTCGTGGGGGGCGCCCTTGGCAGGAGAGGCCACCACCTGAACCACAGGGTCTCGGTAGGGAGAGCTGGACGAGCCAGAGCGCACATCCTCCCGCCCTCGTGAGGGCCCAGACAGAGCCGGCCTGGAGGGGACAGCTTTAGACCCGGCTGGGCTTCTGACTGCCTGCACCTGCATGGGCCTCATTTTCCTTCTCTATAAAGCGAGTTGGACCCAATCACCTCGAAGCACCTTCCAGCTTTCAGCGTTAGGATCTTGACCCCCAATCTGAATCATGCCCTGTCCCTGCACATGATTGTGTCAGAGCAGCGGGGCACGTTCTTGAGGGGGGAGTCCTCTAGCGAGGGGCAAGCTCAGGGCCAGGCTGGGAGGGCGTAGGGGACTTTGCTCCTCTTTCCTCCTAAGAAGTATGAGCTTGGATTCTAGTTGAGGGCCCTAACGCCAGATCCCAGGCTTATTCTACCAAACGGTGCTCCCTTTGACATCGGCACTGTGTTCATGGAGTGGCGGGAAACAAAGAATCTCATCCCCAGCTTGCTTGTGGTGGGACCCAGAAGTGCTGCCTAGAGAGGCCCATGCACTAATGGTCTTTCCTGCCTCGGAGAGGGTCTGGGAGGAAGACGCGGCACACTTGCGGAGCCTCTGAGTAGCTCAGACACGGCAGCAGCCCCAGGATGTTGTGCCAATAGGACAGCGGGTTATACCTTTCCTAGACCCTCCCCAGGGTTCTTCAGATGAACTTGTGTGTCTGGAGAGTGCGCTGGGGATGTGACCACGCTGTCTTCTTTATCCAGGGGAAAAACCCTTCCTCTGTGACAAGTGTGGACGCGGCTTCAACCGTGTGGACAACCTTCGCTCCCACGTGAAGACGGTTCACCAGGGCAAGGCAGGCATCAAGATCGTAGAACCGGACGAGGGGGATGAGGTCAACATTGTCACCGTCGCCTCGGATGACATGGTCACCCTGGCCACAGAGGCACTAGCTGCCACAGCCGTGACCCAGCTTACAGGTGGGGGGAGAGGGGAGGGGAGCATTGGGGGTGGGTCTTGGGATGGAGGCGGCCTGTGCAGGGGGTGGGGATGGCCTCCCTCAGTGCCCCCCCTGTACTCCCCCCCCCACCCCACAGTGGTGCCTGTTGGGGCCGCAGTGACGGCGGATGAGACAGAAGCCCTCAAAGCTGAGATCACCAAAGCCGTGAAGCAGGTGCAGGAAGCAGGTGAGGAAGATGTGGTTATGAGTGACTAGAAAGACATAAGCCCAGAGGGAGGGAAGGAGGGGAGTGTGTGCTCATGGGGGTGCTCCAGAAACAGTCCTGGGGTCCTGGGTCTAGCCATGCTCAGTGAGCAGGAAGGGACCTGGGACAGTCTGTGGTCACAGATCTGGAAGAGGTCTCAGCCGGCATCTAGTCCAGCTTGTACCCAAACAGGAATGTCTTGTCCAATATCCCCACAAGTGGTCATCCCAACTCCATCTGAACCTGTTGCCTGCCGAAGTAGCTACCCTTCCCCAGTGGATAAATCTTATTGTCAGTTTTTTGTATGTGTATGGAGTCATAGATTCATAGATTGTTGTAGCTGGAAAGGGCATTAGAGGTCATCTGGTCCATCCTCCTCATTTTACAGATGAGGAAACTGAGGCCCAGAGAAGTCAAGGGACTTGCCCAAGGTCACACAGCTAGTCATTGGCAGAGCTGAGACTCAAACTCGGGTCTCCTTACTCCAGCCCAGTGCTCCTTCCACCACACCACCCTGCCTCCCAAACCCCTCGTTTTACAGATGAAGAGACTGAGGCCAGAGAAGTTGTGGCCAGCTCAAGGTCACACAGGTAGTACGCTTTATCCATGGCTTCGGTGAAGGCATAGAGGGCATGTTTATCAGATGTGTAGGGACAGAAAGCTAGGACACTGGCAATAGTGTCGACATGCCACAGGACTATGGTCTTGGAGCTCAGCCGGTGAGCCAGCCTGAGTCAGAAGAGATTTAATAGCAGTAAAGATCCAAGTTCTGCTGTTGGGACCCTCAAAGGAGGCGGCAGGCGTGGCCTGTGTGGAAAAGGCTTGGGGATGTTCATGCCCTTGGGGCTCATGGTCATTCTGCTGGCTACTGGGAAGCCAAAGAAACCAGCTCTGTTTAGGACCTTGTAAGAGAAATATGGCGAGTGGGGGTGCCACTGTGCTAGATCTACCCCCAGAGCATGGTGCTAGCACGTACGGAGAAAGGGCCGAAACAGGGACAGGAATGGGGGCTACACCGCGTGAGCATCGATGGAAAGAAATAGGGGGAGAAGACACGGTTTCCACCTCCAACTGTATGAAGGGCTGCTGTGAAACCGTGATGAGCTGTGTTCTCCTTGGCCTCTAGAGGACTTAGAATGGGTGCAGACCTCTGAGAAGCAGATTTCAGCTCAGTGGAAGGGAAAACTGTCCCAAAATGGAATGAGCTGCCTTGGAAGGTAGTGATCCTCCCTGATCCTGGCAGTCTTCATGCAGAAGCCGGATGACCACTTAGTGGGGATGTTGCAGAGGGTGTCCCTTCTTGGGTACAGCTTGGACTGGGAGCCATCTGGGGTTCCTTCCAGCCCTAAGATTCTGTCCAGTGAGGCAGGGCTCCTCACACCTTCCAGGACCAGAACTTTCCAGCCAGGCCTTTGAGCCAATCCCTTCCCCTCGGGCTGGGAGGTCGTGCTTGCAGCTCCACAGCAGGGCTCTAATCCCAACGTGGCTTGTCTTCTGGTTCTCTGACAGACCCCAACACCCAGATCCTCTATGCCTGCGATTCATGTGGTGAGAAGTTCCTGGACGCCAACAGCCTAGCCCAGCATGTGCGGATCCACACAGCCCAGGCCCTGGTCATGTTTCAGGCAGACACGGACTTCTACCAGCAGTATGGCCCAGGCAGCACGTGGCAGGCGGAGCAGGTGCTGCAGGCCGGGGAACTGCTTTTCCGCCCCCGGGAAGGGGCTGAGGGCCAGACTGCGCTGGCGGAGCCCCCTCCACCCACTGTGGCTGAATGAATGAATGGAGTGGAGGTGTGGGTGGGCAAGGGCCACAGCAGACCACCCGCCTTTCCTGACTCTTTATTTAAAATGGACCGAGCACCCTGGATCCCTAGAGAGAATAAATTGGATTATTTTCTAAAGCTCTGGGAGTTGCTGTGGGACTGGGCAGGGATGGGGAGGGGTGTTGAGGGAAATGGCCAGTGCCATTGCCAAGAGCCATGGAGAACTGGCAAGTGAGGGGCACGTGTGGGCAGTAAGGGCGAGGACTCCAGACCACTTGCTGCAAGGCTGGGCACCGCACCTCCAGCCTTCCCACCCTTGTGAGGAGGCACTGCGGCAGGGCCCTAGGAAGCAGCCGTTGGAGGGTGGGATGTATGAGCTGGCCTGGGGGAGGCTTCTTTTGCCTCCCTCTGGGATGAAATGATTACATGGCCTCCGGCATCCCCAGGACTTGACAGGGTGGAAACTTGGGACCAGGTGATCCTGGAGATGTGTTCTCCCTGCCTTCCCCTTAGACTCTTCCTTGTCATTTGTATTCAGGCTGCCTAGGGCCCTGCCCCACCACCCCCTCCAGTGTGAAAAGTCAGAGGAAAGGAGAGAGGCTTTCTCCAAGCCAGGAGTCTCACCTCTCTACTGAATTGTGGGACCTGAGCAAGGGGCCTGGACCCCAACTCTTCCTCTAAGCCTGGGGCTGTCCTGGCGCACGACCCCTCAGTGGCCATCTAGCCTCACCCATGCCTGAATCCCTTCTCCAGCACACCCACGTGGTCATCTGACCTCTGCTTGGAGACTCTCAGTGAAGGGCAAACCAGTAGAAAATAGCCTTGTTAGCACTTGCAGAGCACGCACGGTTTGCAAAACCCTTTATTGTGTTATCTCATCTGATCTTCACAGCAACCCTGAGAGGGAGATGCTGTTATTCCCATTTTGTGTTGAGGAAACGGGCCGAGAGAGGCCGAGTGATGTCCAGGGTCATACAAGCTAGAAGTATCTGAGGCAGGATTGGAACCCAGGTCTTCCTGACCAGAAGTCCTACGCTATCCGCTATCCCATTTGCTGCCTGCTCTATCCCAGGCCAGTTCATCCCACTTTGGGACCATGCTCACTGTTAGCAATCTCTTTTTCCTTTAGAGCCCAAATCTGCCTATTCCTTCCAACCCACTGCTCCTCACTCTGCCTTCCAGGGCTAAGCAGAACAAGTCTGATCACTTGTCCACCTGATGACCGTCTAAATACACGAAGATGCCTTCAGTTGACACGGCCATCTAAAAGTAGCAAGCGAGGGACATGCAGGCAATAACACGAGGGCTCTGGGCATGCCCCTCTGGCCTTCACACCCTTGTGAGGAAACACCCACAGCTCCGTCATCTTGGTCATTCACCTTGGGTTGTGCTCCAGCTCATCCACAAAACTCCAGATGTCAGTCGGGCCGGGCAGAGTGCCCAGCAAGGTTCCCACACCATCTCCGGTCTTGGGTACTGCCTCTCTTAATGAAGCCTGAGTTGACATGTACTTTTATGGCAGTCATGTCATGGTCAGTGACTTTCATTGAGCTTTCAATATATTGAATCCAGTGTCTTCCCACTCATCTCCTTCCCCCAAGATGAACTATGTTCTGGCCATACCTTCCCAATCTTGTATGTGTGAAGTTGGCATATAGCTACATTTGGCCACATTCGTGGCCTGTCAAAGATATTTCTGCCCACTGTCAGTGTCTTAACTAAATTTCCCAGCTGTGTCATACACAAATTTGACAAGCACTGTACCTATGCTTTTAATCCAAGCCATTGATAATGAATATTAAATAAGACACAGCTGAGCACCCATCTCTGGAGCACTCCAGTGGAGTCCACCATGTGGACGTGGAACTCTCCACTACTTTGGGGTTCTTAACAACTGTTTATTGACTACCACGAGAAAAGCAGCAGAGACCATTCAATGCTTTGCCAAGATCTAGCTGAATTACAACTATATTTCGCTCATCCAGTTACCCTTGTCAAGAACAGAAATGAGGATGATCTTGCCTGACCTTCATTAAGCCTTCTCCACCCCTTACTCTCTCCGCATCCTTCAGCTGCTCTTCCACGGCATGACCCTTGAGGCTCTTCCTTCCATCCTTCCCACCCCACACTCCAGCTCAATGTTCCCTTTAAATGGTAACGCCCAGAACTAAGCAAAAAATTGAGATGATCATTTGCTCTTCTCCAAGGTCACCCACCATTCCTTAAATAGTACATCTGATAACATTGCCAGGAATCTGATAACATTGACTGGAAGTCAAGTTCATTGGCTTCTGGTCGACAGACTTCTCTCTCTCTCCCATCCTTATCAATGCTGGCGACCTAGCAATCGCTAATACTCTTGGGAGAGTTGCTTGGTACGTGTGATGTCAGCCGGATTAATACTATTGAATTCCACACAGCCTAGCCATGATTGTATTAGTCCAGGGCAGGGCTGGTGGCCTTCCAGGTCTTCGGGTGCAGCCTTTTTGAGTGAGTCGAAGTTTTACAAAATAAATCCTTTTATGAATGGGATTTGTTATGTGGAGTTTGGATTCAGTCAAAGGGCTGCACTTGAGGACCTAGAGGGCCACATCACAGGTTCCCCACCCCCAGCCAGGGCTTGTGGGGCTTGGCCTTCAGTTCACATCTCAATTTCCCCCTTTAAGAAGGCTAAAGAAAAGGCAGAACTTTACAAATGCAGTTCATTAAGACAGGGTATATAAACCCTGACCAGCCCCTTTAGCTTTAGCTTCCGATAGTCATGGGACGTGGAGCTGGAAATCATCTAGCCCATCTCCCTCATAGATCTTTTCCACTGTACTTGAACCACCCTTAGCTCTTCAGCTTCCTCATCAGTAAAATGGGGGTAAACGGCAGCAACTACCTGGATGGCAGCCTGTTTGTGGCCTAGCATCTAACTCTGTAGGCATGAAGTTGGGACATTGTTCTCGTCTTTGGCCAGATTTTCTTCTTGTCTCCCAAGTTCCAGGCTTTGGAAAGTTTTCTCCGGTCATTGTGCCTCCTCTCCTGGTGGCTGCCACAGCCATGGACACAATAGATAGCCTTCTTAAACCCTCTTGATTCCCTTTTCTTGATCTAAGATGGAACCAGTTGCTAAATTGGACAGCATCCCTTTTGGCTGGAGTACTCAAAGACGGCTTCATAGACAGGCATGGAAAGCACGGACCTTAGTTCATGTCTTAGTTTGTGTTTACCACCCCCTTCCCAGCACAGTCTTGCACCAGAATAGTCCAGGAGGCTGCCCTGTGTCTGTGTCCATCCCTGATGCTCAGGAAATTTACAAGCCCAGAACATTCCCAAGGGAACATCCAATAAAGACATAACTGGTCCTAAATCTGGGCAGCAGTTATAGTTTGGATAGGGCTCATCTCCCAAGGCATCTTAAGAGGATTTGGGGACCTCCCTCATGAATTGATCCCCAGTTTCAGGAGTTGGGAGAGATGAAAATGAGGAAACAAAGCTTGCTTAAAATTTGCAAATTTCTTTCGGTGGTTGTTTATTCTGTGTATCAAAATTGTAAGTGCTTTCAACGTTACTCAAGAACCAGTCAAGACTTCTGTTGAGTTTTACAAATAATTTACACCACAAAACAAACATGGTCCAAGTCCAACTTGATCTGTGATAAAAATTTCTTCTTTTGTACAAGATAAAATAACTCACAAGAAAGTGGATTGAGCATCAAGCACCAAATGGCCAGAAGGGGGCAGGGGCCACAAAAACTCCAATTTCTCCCGTGTACAGCTGCTGGATGGGGTTGCAGGAGAAGCCTACAAAATCCAACGTCTACCCTCCCCAGCCCCCCAAGATTGACAATCACATTCAAGCTCAACATGTTTTGTATTTTTTAATAAAGGTTGTAATCCAATGGACACACAAAACAAAACTGCGCAGAGAAAAAACAGTTCCATAAATTAATAAGTGTTAGAGGAGGGGATCGGGAATAAAAAGTCTCTTTGTACAAGTGTATAACACTCCCACATCGCGGGGCAGGGGGGTAGGGGGGCCCACAAAGGTTTGGGAGAATGGATGGAGGGGCGAGCCATGTTTAAATGAAGCGCACTTACAAATGAGTGACGATACAAAGTCTGAGTATGAAAATAAGATTTTCTCTGAAAACACATTTTTGGCACAGATTAAAAAAAAATGTATGTCAGGGGATTTGATTTTTTTAAAGTCAGTATTATATATATTTATATATATTATATATATATATTTATATATACACACACCCACTGAGTTCTGCATATCCCACCAGGAAGGAAAACCAAGTTTCCCCATTGCTGTTTCTTCCCCAATGTAAACTGTACATCCCAGATGAATTAAAGATGGTGGCAGCGGGAGAGTTGATTAAGAAGGATGATGGGGGTCCAGAAGAGAAGGGGAACCAGGGTTAGGGAAAGGGGGCAAAAACAATCCAATGAAATGTTCCTTGACCCCTAGATTTCTGCAGAAGTTCCCAAGTCCTGCATTTTGAGTCCGCGATGCATGTTAATGTACATCAAGACATCCAGAAGTCACAGCATGTCTTCAACTGTGCAAAAGTCCAAGTCACTAATTTAGTGCAAAGGCAGTTCAGGTTTTTTTTTCTTTTTCCGTTTGTTTAAAAAACTTTTTCCATTTAACCCCCCGGCCCAGGCCTCAATCTGCCTGCTGAGTGCATCGTTGTCCGTAAGCTAAAGCATCATGTAAACATACAAGGTAGCAGCACCACACCCAGCGACACACAGTCTGATCGAGGCCAAGCAGGGCAGGAGGCTGGGCATCTGGCAGCAGTGTCTTCACAATCTGCTCCTGTATCATCCTCCTCTTCCTTTTATCTGATCTGGTGGTGGTTGGTGGTTGGTTGGTTGGTTTTTTGTTGGTTTTTGTTGTTGTCTGTTGTTTGCTGCAGGGCCTTGGAAAGAATACACCAACTTGGACAGCAGTCTGTCAGTGGCTCACACAGAGGCAATGATGATCATGAGGTGGGGGGAGATGTTGGAGATGCTGGCGAGGAGGTCGGGGGCCAAGCGTGAGAGGTGTCTCTCTGAAAACTCACAGGGAGGGAAGATCTGTAGGACATAAGCAGGCTGGAGGAGAAGAAGAGAGGAGGAGAATGAACATTTAGTTAAGACCTC